AGATAATAAAGAAAAATTGCAAAAGTAAAAAGTTTGTTCCTAATCTTCATTAGATTATTTAATGCTTGTTTATCGCAATACTCTATCTGCAGTTGAGCTAGTTACATAATTAATATGTATAGTTTATCAAAATTAAAGATGGAAAAAATAAATGTAGACAAGATGTTGAAATATATTTAATATTTGGTAATGTGTTTGATATTATTATCAAACATTAAGTTTATTTTAAAGAAGTTCTTTAAAATAACGTTTCCTACCAAGGTTGATTTGGGAAATTCTCTTCACAGACTACATCACATTTATTTTTTTGTAATTGTGTAAAATAGACTTAGTTTACGTGTAGGTATACAAAAATAAATATCGTAATCATACATATGTACCATTGTTGACGAATACGTTAAGAAGAATTGCGTATTTTGCATAAGGATAAACATGAAGTGACAGATCGGTGCGTTACACATGTATGACGCTGGTAGCGAACGTGTTAAGCAAAAAAGAAACAGGAAGAAATAAACAGAGGTAACCATTTGTAGCATCAAAAAACAATAACCGATGTTGTACCTCGGTTTTTCGAGTTCGACAGAACTAGCAGGATTAAGGACATATTTCACGTATACTCCTTGCAAAAAGCCACTGAAAATTAGAAATACGCTGATATTTCTGTTATGGCAATATGTGATGTAGCTATCTTTAACAAACGAAAAGATAATTATAAACATAATGACAAAAATCCTAATTTTTGTGTACGTATACTTTAAATATTCAAAATGATGTATGAAAATTTTCATCACTCAGAGATAAAAGTTTAAATGTCATAACATAAATAACATAAGATAAATTAAATAAACTATGACAACATATAATATTAAAATAAAAATGTGTTATTATCCAACTATGTATATCGTATGTATACAGTTAAAATATACATACAACACATTTTTACTTTAATATCACAAATTGTTATAATTTATTTAATGTATCTTATATTATTTCTGACATTTAAATTTTTATTTCTGAGCTACGATGAAACCTTTTATATATCATTTTGAATATTTAAAGTACGTGCATACAAAAATAAAGATTTTTGTCATTATGTTTTTAATCATCTTTTTATTGTTAAAGATAGCTACATTATATGTATATATTTCTATAACAGCGCGGTATTAAAGTAACAGAATGACATGACATGACGTAATAATGATAGATTATTGACGTTATCAATGCGTCATTAAAATGTGATTGTATTTGCTGGGTTTACTTTTCAAAGTAGAAAGCTGATCAGACTCTAAATCAATGCTAAATAGTTTGTGATCGTTTTTGAACGCAATACAGATTAATCATAAATTTTTCTAAAATCTTTTCATTATTTTTGATATATGGACAATACACTGTAAAGAATTTTGTATTAAATTCAACACATTTCACATGTCCCGATTTATCTACTCCAAGTTTTATATTAATTTAATAAAACAAGTCAAGTATATAGTACATAAACAAGTACATAAGTACAAGTGCAAGTACATAAATAACGTAAATAATATGTCGAAAATTAATGCAGAACTGTAACATTTGACATTGATGTATTGTTTCAATACCTGTGTGTGTGAAAATGACACTTGGGACGAACTCAACGCAGAGAAATCAAAATAACACAACGACAATATGTTAAATTAACACATGGCTATTTTAAAAATTGAATACAAATCTTTCGTGTCGAAATACGATTTCGACACGACTGCAAAGTGTTTTTTACTGTGCGGAGCAAAAATATCGATTCGGAAACCCTCAAGAATTCTTGGGTAAAATTGACGCGATCGCGGCTTAATCGGTGCTCTGGCGTAAAATTATGATTACGTGTACTCGATGTATCGTGTAAACGAGTAAGCTCGCGGACTGAAATTGCATCTCGGATTACAGTAGTAACGGAAATTCTAGCTTTTTCGTCGCGTTCGAGGGACATACGGTTCTCCGACGTTACGGCGTGGCTGGAAATACGCTCCGTGGCGATGCCACTCGTTAGTTTTCGTCGACAATTTTCGCAACGGTCTTTCGCCATTCTTCGCGACGAACCGTTTCCGGGTAGAGTACCCATTAAAAATGTCGGGTGGAACGAAATAAAATAGATTCCCGCGCGGACTGGAAGGGAAGAGACCTGGCGCGGCATCATTTTGTTTAAAGCTGTCGCTGACTCGTTGCTCTGCCGCGCGTCGAGTCACTCGGCGAGTCTCGCAATAAAATAACTTCTCCACGGAGAGGAGAGAGCGTTCCTACGCTCATTATACGCCATTGTGCAGCAAGCTCCAGATAAATCCCTTACCGAACACGTTATTGCACGGCCTCACCCCTATCCTCCCTCCTCTGGTAATATCGCTTTTTCTCTCAACTTTTTAAGTCACCTTTTCAAGTTGCGAGGCTGAATCGGCTGCACTCACTTGGGAAAAAGAAAAGCTCATGCATTTCTCCTGCGTTCGCATGACTTTGCATGTCTATTCTCGTACCAACTTGCATTCCCTGTCTCGACACTCATAATGCTGTCGTCGGCCGATTGTCAGGTCGTTCAGCGTGTTGATTTGCAAGCGTGATATATAGGCTATATGGCCCTAGGCGTATATACTTTTTTTACGTTTATTTTGAAAGGAAGTGACTACAAAATTGCGAAATGGTTCCTTTAGAACATAAATGTTTTTCCCTGAGTTTCATTAAAATGGGAATAATATTACAGTTAAGAAATAGAAAAAAAAACTGATTTAGTAATAGCAACGTAAATTTTCGAGAAATTTTCTATCAATATTCTCTATCATGACCGAAAATTAAGCGATGTGTTATTAACTAGAATAAAATTTCTTGCAAGTATATGATATACTCTTTCTGATAACAAATGCAGTTTTCATTTATAAAATGATTAAAATAGAGCATATAACCGGACGAGGTAAAGTTGGCCCATAATTAAGAGCCGGCAGGAAACCTTTTGCGGAGACTCTGAAACTACTAATTAGGATACATATTTTATAAGGTAGCCTTCTTACATGCGCTACTGGGCAACTGGTGCCAGGGCAAGATGGATATGTTGCATGGATATTTTGCTTTCTTAAAGTGAATCAGTGAAACATTGAAAGCAGTAAATATACACTGATTTGCAGCTATAAGTACAGAATTAAAACTGCTTAGTGCTATATACTTATAACTGATATCAGTGACTATTCACTGATTTACTTTAAGAGAGTGGTTATTACAAAACATATGTTTAACATAATCATGGCAGGCATTAATATATAGAATCTCTATAATGTTTATACAGTCAATTACAACAATTAGTTGCTTAAGAAGTTGTAACTTCGAAATTTCAAAATATAGGATATCTAGCTCTGATTTACTCGTGATACACATCTCTCCTGATATCCAAGTGAAAACCGCGTTCGAAAGTATGTCCGGCGATTTGCATTTGTGATGATACGAAATCGACGGTATTTTTTTTTATCAATCATTTGCCAGACAGCTACACGCGAGATTAGTGTCCCATTTATGTCGTAAACGGCACGATCTTGCTTCAATTAGTAGAAGCCGAAATACATGCTACCGTGGAATTATACGTGCAAATCTGAATATAAAACGCAGTTATGTCGGGGCCGTTGTCCCTTGCTGAAATTTACGCAAGCACCCGTGCCATTTACAGCACGAACGTGGAGTTAAGCCTAGCTATACACTCCTAGGCTCTCTGAGACCTCAGTGAAATTTCAAAACTATTGTTGGTAGAATCATTAAGTGGAATGATCACGACCTCTCACTTGTCACTTGGAAAAATAGTTTAGGGTCTCTTCAATAGTTCACAGCGACAGAAGCAGTCAATCAACGTTGGATTGTTCGTCTGTGAAATTAGTAAGGAGTCTCTCAGGTCCGTATCAATAACCATTACTTGAAACTCGTCTCAGATGAGATGCTCAGATTCCAATTCAGAGTTAAATGAAAATTTTTCAGTTGAATCGCGCGACTGCAGATATAAGTCGCACTTATCATAATTCAACTGAAAAGTTTGAATCTGACTCTGAACTCAAGTCTAAATATCTCACTTGAGACAAGTTTCAAGTAACGACTATTAATACAGGACTCAGACCTCAGTTATCTGCAAAACTTTTCTTCCAAGTAAATAAATCTTGTCGTTCATTCTACTTCGAGTTAATAGTGTAAATTCATACTTGAAACAATATCCAATTGTCATTTTATTATTTTTTCTTAAATATGTTGCTCGTAAACATTAATGAGTAACGTTAAGATATCCTTATTTTTAGGTTAAACAAAATCCCTATTTTTTACTTAAACAAAACAAGTCAGGTCATTTTTTAGAAGAAATTTTGTTCGTCGAACTAATTAAGCCGTTTCTTTGCTATGATTACAATCGATGACGTTACGATCATCTATTCGAGCACTCATTGAAAGTGTTTTAGATTTAAAAAATACGGCTGATATACCGCGTGAAGTTTAGAATAATGGTAAATTGAGAAAAAAAACATGATGCTATTTTGTCCACGTAAAAAAGATCAAAACTCAGTTTGTGTGTGAACCATTTATGGTAAAATGACGTTTTTCTTGAAGCAAAAAGTAATTAATATCTTTTAACACTTATTAATATCTTTAACTTATTAATATCTTATTAATATCTTTTTCCGGTCATCATGATTCACTAATTGATTTTACTATCTTTTAGTTCATTCACAATTAATTAAAATAAAATTAATCACGACATGGTAATTTTCTCGAGCATAATGAAAAAACTGGCAAGGATATCCTAGAGTCAACCACGTTTCCACGGTAATAACCACGTATACGAAAAATAAGTGTGTATAATCAGAGTTAATCCTGCATCAGCATGAATATAACTTTAGTTCTTGAAGACGAGATCATTAGGGGCTCAGAGTGTGTCATTGAGACAGTGATGTTGCAAGTTTAGCGATTCCGTTGGTGAATAAATGATAGTGGAAACAAGAAAATTTCTCCAGACTCACCGCAAGTGTACACGACTTTGAGATAGGTCCTGCTGTCCGGTCTGCAGGGCTCGCCAAACGTTGTACTGTTCGCCACCACCGAGCACCGTCGTTTACCGTGGCATAAATGCATTACGGTTTCCGTTGCGAAATTTATCATGCAAGCTGCAAATATAACGATAAAAGTATCAAGAATAGTATGTCGTGTAATCCCAAAAAAATATAACACGCCGGTGAACACGCCGCCCGCATATTCTCAATCCTTCTCGTGTAAAGTATATTACATGAAAATTACAAAGAACACGACGGAGCGCTCGTGCGTGTTTCACGATAATAATTTCGTTGAAACGCGTGCGGGCGCGGTTGCTTTTAACGTGTAAATATGCATTCGCATGCAATTCCGGGTATGCAGTCACCCCTTTGTTCCGATAGAGGTGTACGGTGTCCGCCGTTTCTTTCTTTCTTTCTCTCTCTTTTTCTCTCTCTCAGAGAGAAACATCTCTAAAATCCCGCCTGCGCAGTTTATGACTTAGGATGAACACGATGTACGCTGTTTCCGTTAGCGAACAAGATCAAAGTGGTAAGAGAACCACGGTCGACGACACGCAGACAGTGTAGGAAAAAGAATAAGAATTTATTGATCTGATTTTACGCCGGCTGACAGAAGAGAAAGAACTAAAGATTGTATGTGTGTGAGAGAGAGAGGGGGGGAGGGGAGGTAGAAAGGGAGGAGAGAAGAGCAGGAAGTCTGCGGCGTTTCCGATACTCTTTTGTACGGGAAAATGTACGTTGCGCTCACGACGTAAGACGTGACGACGCGACCTGTCGTCTTGTGAAGGGATATCAAGGAGGACCGCGAGGCATTCACGACGGAGAAGCCCGAAAAAGGACCATTATAGCGCGGCGCCATTCCACAGATTTTGTTCCTTATTGTCGTACTCGAGCGGCGAGCAACCGCAAAGAGCAACCAACCCTCCGTGTTAGAGGATAGCTGGACTGGTCTTGGCCTTACGAGCTGCCGAATGATGAGGCGACAAGTGGATCACGTAGTTGTGCATGAGGCGGAGATTTATTGGATCACCGTAGAAAGTTTACGAACGGAGCTGAGCTATTCAGACAGCTGCGAAATAGGAATTTTTTTGTTCACGAGAAGAGAAAGAGAATGGATACCTACTGTTAAGTACTGAAAGTTATGTAGATAAATAGTTTCCCGTTTCCATTTTCTGTTTTTCCATTTACTTTCCCACGAACGTAAAATAACAATTGGATTTCTTTTAAGCCAGCTCAAACTTAAATAGACAAAATCGAATTGGACCTATTAGAATATTTAGAGTATTTATCTTGTAGTAACTCATTTGTACCACTAACAAAAATTTTGTACTTCGTGCTAATTCGGAAAAAATTGTGGCACTGATAACTTAATATTAAATTAAGACTACGTGAAAGTGAATATAAAAAGAAGGAATATAAAACAGAAGTAGAAATATAGAGAATTAAATTTATATTTATTTATACCATCAAATGTAACTTAATATTTGCCAAACATAGCTTAATCAATACTGTTTAATATTTACATTAAATTTTGTTGAAACAAACTTCTATTAAATGCAGCTTTACTAGGTTACTCTCTGTAGAATTGACAGAATCAATCAGTACTCCTGCATTGGACACGTGATAATCACGTGATACTGCTAAGATGTGTAATTTCAGATTTTGATTTGAAATGTAATTTCAGAATTTGTGATCCTGCAACTGCGAATGAGTGTGAATGAGTATTTACAAATGCGTCTATTACATCAAGTTTATTACTTTACACCAGACAAAAACAAATGTTTTCAGCTTTATTCTGTGCTCACTTATTTTGTAAATTTATTTTTACTTACTAATAAGCATAATTTTCTAATAATACTCATAAAGCGATATTGCTAGTTTTGAAAACTTATGATCGCCATATTGAACCCACCATTTCGAATTTTAACTTATTATTATATATTTATACTTATTGACCTCAAAATCGTAAACAGCGAGCCCGAAATCCTCCAAACTTGAAAAAATTTCACCGAGATATAAGACGTATGGCTTAAAGGGTAAATACTAAGTCAGCAGTGTCATGATTTTTTCCCGAAATGGCACAAAAAAGTACAATATTTTTATTAATAGTATTAATTAGTACAAGACAGATACTGAATAATCCAATAGATCCGGCTCGATTTTGCTATTTAGGCCTGCTAGTTCAACAGAGGTCGTAATTCGGAGCAACGCTCAGTTTCCTGTTTCTTTCTGCTGCCTTAGATTTCTGCGTCCTTAGATTTCCAAGTGGCTTCACGATATACGCGCACGCAGATGATTATTGTGGCGGTCAGAACAATCCGGAATTATTAATGTCACGACGTTCCCAGTTGGCCGGCGTGGCGGAATTGTCCGAGTAACACTTCACGAAATGGCTAAAAGCACGACAATGGTCTCCACGGCGGGCCATTCCCGTTTATGTTCTCTCGTTTAGTGAGAGAGTGGAGAAACTCGCGTGCTCTCTCTCGTGGCGGGCTGATTGATCGGACAAGACGAAAAGCCGCCATGGGAGCGCGCCTGACGAGGGAACGTTCGATCGCAAGTCGAAGGAATTTACCTTGAAAAGTTAAATAAAAGGGGTGCGCCACGTCTAGGGAAAAACGAACGAGGAAACGCGCGAGGGAGTTCCTCTCTTCTCTTCTCAAATTAAAAGTGCTTCTCGCGGCAGCGCGAGAACGCGCTTTCCCGATATCAAACGTCATATTTGGCGCGCGGACGCATCTATCGGTCATTGAATTACCGCAGCTCGTCTCCGTCTGTCCGTCCATCCGTCTGTCTGTCTGTTGGTTTTCCAAGGGAACAGACACATTCGCCTTTCTTCTTAAACCGCCGCAGAACTCACTTTAATTTCCTCTTCCTCGCGTCGTGCGGACCTCATCCGAAAACTTCGGTGAACGTGGCGGGAAAAGTCGCAATCTCGTCGTCGAGGATGACAATAAAGTGGGACAGACATCGGCTCGGAGGGGAAGGAGGGGAGGGACTTCTCCGCCGAAAAACTCATCGGCGAATAGAAGAAGAAACGGACGGCGAAACTTATCGACCGGTCGCGCGGTATCGTCACGGCATCGGAAAATCCTATAATATGTCGCCCGACTCGCGGAGATGGGTTTCGAGAGATTTATGTCGCCGTTGTCGCCGCCACCATCGTCGTCGTCGTCGTCGTCGTCGTCGTCGTCGTCGTCGTCGTCATCGTCGTCGTCGTCGTCGTCGATGCTGTACACGCTGGATATCATTACTTTAATGACACGCGTTATTTACGCCCGCGTAAATACTTAACGTCAACTGTAACTTGGAAATGTCGTCGCGTCATTATTTCCCGCGAAGTAAACGACGTGCCCCTTCGGCGACGATGACATAAAGCCGAGATGATATCAAGACGAGAGAAGAGAGCGCGCAAGAATTCTTCAAGAGGCGTGCTAAAACTCGAGTTTATGCTCGATTACTTTCTGCTCTAATAACGAGTAATGTGGCATGGAGCAGATGAAAAGTGTCGTAAATATTACGTAATCGGGATAAAATGAAGTATCTCTCTCTCTCTCTTCTCCCTCCTTCTCTCCCTTTTATACACTCGTCGTATAATATTTATGTATTTATTCTCCCAATAGGAGAGAAAATAAATCCCTTTTATATACATATATTGTTCAAAATCTTACAAGTACGTAAACATGTATGTGGGAAATCTAAATATACAGAGTGTTGGACAATGATATATAAAACTCTTGCGTGCATGTAAATTGGGTAAAATTAAACAAATGTTTCTTTACCATCTTGCAAACAATCACATAAGAGTTTGAGTTATTAATTAAAAAATATTTGAATTTAAGATTTGATTTGATTAAACAACCTTGATTTGATTTTGATTAAGATTTGATTTTTTATTAATCAAAGAAGATTGAGAATTCACGCGGGATACGACGATATGCAAGATATGACGATAAATACAAATTGCGTTATGAACTTATACATTAGACCAAACTAAACAAAAAAGTTCTTTATCATTTTGCAAATAACCAAATAACAAGTTTCTGAGTTACTAATTAAAGAAGATTAGCGAACAATCGTGCGTGATTATTCGTCAATCTTCTTTAATTAAAAAATCTACGCGTTTATTTGTAAAATGGTAAAAGAATTTTATTCAATTCGACCTAATCTACACACACACACACAACTTTTATGTGTCATTGTTAGACACCCTGAATAAACTAAACAGAACTTGAATAGAGTGGAAACAAAACATAGAAAGGGACATTAATTATATATATCAGCATTAATACACATTAGAAGTTTATAAGAAATAAATCATTCAAACACAAAAATATACAGAAAGAACGTAAATAATTTAGTAAGAAAGAATGTAAACATTAGGCATGTATGTGAACAATATTACGAGGCTGATATCACGATGTTACTGTGTTTCACGTTACGTTTCGTACGGATATCTTTCTCGTAAAAATGATTTATTACTATGTATCCTAAGTACTATTATAGATACTCGAAAGAGAAGAAAAGGAGGTGAGTTGTAGTCTTTCCAATGCGACTAGGCGGGGGAAGTGTTGAGGTGCGAAGCAGTCGCGACAAATTTGCTGACTGATAGAATATCGAAATACCGGAACTCGCGCAGTTACACGACGATAAATCATTTACCGTGTACGACGCGCCTTCCCGCGAAGGACGAAATTATCGGTCGTGAACGAAGTCGAAGCCGCGAATGAAAATGTCCAGAGTGCTGCTCTGGAGCCGCGTCAAAACGAATCAATGATCTCGACGGCCAAGATCGATCAGAATAAGTGTCAGATTGCATGCAAAAATGTCGGCTACTTACTCTCCTCCTTCACGCCACGCGGCTGCGGACACTGCAAGGACTCGTACTCCGTTCTGCCGAAGGACGCGCTGAAAATCGCCACCCTCTGGCCGGGGTGACAAACGAGATTGATAACGTCATTCTCGCAGGCCACCTTACTCCTGAACTCATCTGAAACCACGAAACCAGCATTTAATAAAGCGGCCCTCTCATCGTCGTGGCGTAAAGTGTAATTATGCCAGCGCAATGCCATTTTATGAACTACACTTTATTGGCTGGCTCGCCTCTTATCGTCTCTCGCCGAGAAGGGGAGGGAGAGTGAATAAGAGGTGAGAGAGAGAGGGAGGCCAAGAAACGGCGAAACTTTTTAGCTGTCGAGAGACGAGACAAATCGTAAATTCCGCGGGTTCGAATTCCACCGAGGACACTTTTTACGAGCGGGCGTTTCCTCGAGGTAAAACAGACGCTGTCTACTCGTCTCGTTACGACACGTTGCATTCGCGAATTTCAATGAACCGGAATGGCTCGCAGCTGCCGATAGTACGTTTTTGCGCGGTGCAGAGATCGCGTCGCCCTGGAAAGTTTCTTGCGGCGCGGGCGTAGTTTGCGACCTTACGGATTGTCGGCGTCTCGCTCTTGCGCCGATATCCCGCCGAACGATACGCGATAAACAAAGACAGGCCGAGAGGTAATGGCTTTTCCGCGGATTCCCCATTTGTGGACAGACAGTGCCACTTATTCATCCCGCCGATTTGACTCGGTGAGATTCATTAACATTGGTTTAAATAAGAAATCAAATGTTTCAACTGGAAACTTATCTATAGTCCTCTGTTCACGTTGATCCCAATCAGTTATCTGATTTACATGAGATTATCAGGTTCTGATAAGTCATATAACGCAACGTGACAATCACAGAACTTTATCGATAATAAAAATGTTTAATTTACATTGTAAATTGGCCAATAAGAGCCTGAAGTCGATGTGTTTTGCCTTATGTTTTTGCCGATGCGTTTTTGCCTCCGATAAGAGTTGCGTTATTATAATTTTCACGTCTGTAAAATAAAATTATGTATTGAAATTATATCGCAAATTATATCGCATTCACTGAGATGTTTTATTTTATTGTAAATATAAAGAAAAATGCGATAAAAACGTGAAATTACATAAAAATTTATATTATTTTTAAAAATAAATTTAAATGATTAGTAGTCTCTCTTATTAATACATATAAATCTTTAGAAAAAATATTACATATTTCAATTTGTCAAAAAATTCATAGATATTTTTCTTTATAAAACTGTCAAACGTTACTGTCAAACACTCGTAACTTTCGGCAGAATTTTTATTTTATTATAATTTCTTTTTTAATAATAAAACCAGAATTGTTGATACATATCGTCTCTTATATTTAGAGGATAATTTTTGCAAGTAAATTTTACGAGTAAGAACAATTTATTGTTATTACATCATAAAAGTGGACAAGAAAAAATATTTTCGCGCATTATTACGTATAGAAGATAGAACAATGTTATTATGCAGAATTATTAATGAATACAAAATTAATGAATTATTAATTAATCAATTATTTAATTATTATTAATTATATGTACAATTTGCATTAAAGGTAATATAGCTTCAAAGCACATATTTTGATTTCTCAAAAACTGATTGGAAAATTATTTTAAAAAATTGGATACCATCTCTACACTACATAAAAACAATAATGAAAACCTATTTACCAGTATAACTAATTTGAAGTTGGAAGTATTACTCTGGTTTGTGTGTGGGTCGTTCCTTATATTTGCTCGCTTATTGATTTGATTATTTATATACTCTCTAAAAACTAATGAAAATTTATAAAAATAATAAATATACTTCACGCCTATAGAATTATTGAAATCAATCTGATGATAATCATAGGATAAATTTCTAATCGAGATATTCTTGATGGAGAAAGTTAATATCTCCCTTCTCTCTCATTTCTTGTGTTTTCTCAAATATGAAAGCTTCCTCACCGATTAGCATCAAGATTACGGACAACAATACGATATTCGCCCGTCGAGACTGTCGAGCCCGCGGGAATTGTTCACAAAGTGCAGACTCAGTGCGGCAATTATCAAGTTGAGTCAACGTTTGCTGTAAGCTCGATATTTGTTAGTGGACGGCGTGAAACCAGCAAAAATTGTTCGCAAAGTGCAGACTCAGTGCATCAATTATCAATTGAGTCTGTATTCGGTCGATACTTTCCGTAGGCTTGGCAGCCGTCGATGCGAAAGTCGTGTCGCCGTCGCATTTCCTCCTCGATTCAGGACGTAACCTTCTGCCCGCAAAAACCTAAGACGAAAATACTCTTGCGTCCTCGCTTTTCCTTTGTTTCGTCTTGCAATTCCGGTCCTCGTGAGGTCGCGATCGGACGGTATTATTGAGCGCAGGCGACGATTAACGAATTAAAGATTCCCGAAATGCGCAACGCACCGCTGGAGCGAATTTGCCCGCATTCGAGTGTGACGAGACCTGCGGTAACTCGTTGAAATATCGTAGTTTTGTTGCGGAGGAACAACTTTGACCATAACCCACGATCCCACCGCCGAGCAACATCTTTTCATACCACGGCCATGTTTCTTACCCCAGCACGGAAGTCGGCGGGCGCACTTATGCTTGAGATAAAGTGTTATGCCCCGGTTTATTGAGTTGGCGATTTACGGTGGTCGCTGGCGTGTGTTGGCTTTCGAACTGCTCTGGCTGGCGAACCGCGACCAATGGCCATCGCGCACTTCTCCTAGGATTTAAAGAGCGAAATTGCGCGTAGCGTGAACGACGTCATGATGATATTCGCCAAGATCGTATCCGATCGCCTGTCAAAATCGACTCTGGCCGATATCGTCTGACGTGGCGGGCCAATCAACCACGGCGGATAATCCTTGCGAATCTAACTAAGTCCCCGGCGAGATTCTCGCCGTCGCTATAGGCACCGACCGACCTATTTCTAGCTTCACTGTTTGTATCAAGTATTTCCATGCACAGCCGTGGCAAACAGATGACCAGTTTGTAGTTTTTCTAGATTCACGCATCCTTTGTTCCTGTGCCGCGCGTATGTATCACCAATATCGAATTTTCGACCAACAAACGAGTATATACACGTGCAATTTTGCAAAAACGGTAGCTTTGTCAGGACCGTTAAACGATGCCGTTATAAAGCACTGCCCTCTATATTTTGTATTAAAATTCATGTATTAATATTACGTTAATATTATGTGTAATACCGTATATCAAATTCGGTTCTATTTTTTTTAGTATATATACATACAACAATATGTATTTACACTAAATATCAACAATTTTGCTTTTATGTTATTGTATTTCAATATTCTGCATTTTTATTCCGATTCCGAATAAATCACAATAGACTCATATTTCGCTTTATATTTAACTAACATGTGTATCTGATTTCAAGTGAGTATTTTACTGCAGCAATTGTTTATTTGTTTATTGTTTGTATATTTAATTGTTTATTGTTTGTTTATTTATTTTATATATAATAAATAAAAAAATATATATATAATATATATAAATTTCCAGTTTTCAAATGCACAATCAAACATAAATAAAAAAGTCAATAAGAGTCGATATAAGATTGCACGAAACGCATTATATCCACAAATAAACAAAGAGCGTTTAATGCTTCATTTCTTGGTTCATTTGTGAATATAATTTCACAATTGGCATCTTGTGTGAACTCTTATTGATCTTTTTGATAAACAAGCATTATATATATTCATTATATATATTATATATATATATATATATATATATATATATTCATTATATATATTATATATATTTATTTATGTATTAAGAGATTTATTACTATATCTTATCTTTTTACAGTTGCAATACCAAAAGCTTAAGCCAAAACTTAACCATTTCAGGTCTTTGAACCTAACCTAATCTAATGGACGATCGCAAAAGATACCTTTACAAAATGGTGGAGCAGTCGCCCGGTACAGTCGGCTGATTAAAGGTTACAACCCTTATCTCCGATGAGTTTTGTAACACATTCCATGCCCAACAGGAGAATTTATCTTTTAGTAATTCTCAGGAGATTCGTTCTCCCATTGGATACGGGTTGCGCAGCAAAACTCACCAGGGAAAAGTTCCGCAGCTCTTTTAACCGGCCGACTGTGCACGTCCAATCTTCCGCGTTATCAACATCAGATTACGCTTGTTCGCGTACCCCCAAGATCTCGCTTCTACGTAACTGCCCGTATCGCGCTATTACGGCCACGTTATATGCAAAGCAAAAATCGCCATGCGATACCTGCTGCAAGTCTCTCGAGGCTCGTATCCACCTGGAAGGGCCCAGTACTCTCCGGACATATCAAAGACCGGAGCGTCAATGGCCCGTGAAATTTCGCTCGGAAGAGCGGATCGCGGTATAAACGCGCGCACGAGGGAAACAGCGGGTTGCAAGAGGCGAAAGGGGGTGAAAGGGG